GTCGAGGAGGAGGAATAGCGACTGTTTATAAGAGTCACTATAAATGTAAGCAGCTAGGTAAGATGACGTGTGCTGTCTGAGTGCCGTAAATTGTTTCGTCCTGGAAGTGACCTGGGGCGGACCCGGAGACAGTTTCCTAAAGGTATGGATATACACTATATAGAAATAGCTTATCTTCACACCGATGGTCTCATTTGCTGTCGTAGGTCATGCGCAGACATCAGCAGAAACGAGAGACTTTTGTATATCCAGTTTAAAGTTTCTTGTAGCGGCTTTAATACGTTTTTTTGATATTATTGTAAGTTTTTAGTCTAGGTTCAGGCAAATACTGAAATTCAATGATGTTAACATTGTCAACAACCAATAGCTGCGCTCTGTCCAGCAGCAAATAGGGAGAAGCAAACCAGACAGTGCACATGGAGACTTCAGAGAGTCACAAGAGTGTGAAGAAGTCTCGGTCTCTTGAGTTGTTTAGTTTAGTTTAATTTAGTTTATTAAGGATCCCCATTAGCTGGTACTGTAGTAACTAACTAGTCTTCCTGGGGTCCACAAAAAACGTTGTGAAAAAGGAGTGAAAACTTGTGGAGTTGTGAAGTGAGTGAGTCCAAATATTTAATTTGGCATGTATCTGATCCACAATCGGCACTTGTTCTTTTGAGATAACTTAATTTTCTAACACTCTGCCTCTCATTGCCACAGGTGTCCTTCCACTGAAATAGCGCAGCTAATTAAAGGAGGCTGGTAGCTAGTTGAGATGACAAAATCCAAAATGTAAAGTAGCAATGCAAATACAGTTTATGGATTGCCACTTTGACAGTCGACTAATGATGCATTTATCTTGTGTTAAAGTTAGGTGTTTTTGCAGAGACATAAGGAATTTTTAATGTGTCATATTTCTTAAAGGTAAGTAGCTACCTAGCTACAAGCTACTACTCCTAGCTAGCTGCATATAGTTATAGAAAGTCATAGAAACAAAACCCACATGCAGCGTGTCATTATAAAAAGCACATGGAGCACTTTTTAATGAAGCGCTGACACGAAGCGCTCCCCAGCACCTGCCACTGTTTTTCTTCTGAAGGAAAATGCTGTGCGGACACAGGCCCGTCAGACTTTTGTCTTTTCACAGTCTTCTATGGTAAGCATAAGTCTCAAGTCACAAGTCAAGCTCCTAGTCAAGACAGTAAAGTCCCAAGTCAAGTCCAAAGTCCTTAACTTTAAGTTTTGAGTCCTAGCAAATCATAATGCACTCTTCACCAAATATGTTGCCATTTTAACAACAGCATAATAATATGTTGGATTTACAAAACTCACAAAAGCTTCACGAAATTTGTACTTTTTAAAACACGTTTGTAGAAAAGTTACTCGGCTGTTAAAGTAACGTTAGCTAAGCATTAGCTTTCTATGTTAGCATTAGCCAAGACGTGCCATCACTACTACAACTTTTAAGCTCGAGCAAAGTTTGAAGTTGTTGCGTCTCCGTCTGTAATTTTCGACCTGCACGTTTTGCATATTGCAGTTTGTTTTTTGTTGACCACCACATTTTTTTTTACATGAACGACATTATCTTTGCTGTCATTTTTTCCAAATGGTGCTCTAACATAACGTTGCCTCTTCATGGTTCTCACCTGCAACTTGACTGGATGCTGTCGGATTAGTTCAAACAAAGTGAATATGAGGAATGAAATGATATGATTTGAGACACACATTTTAAGTAACTGGGGAAGGTATCAGGTATTTTCAAGTCAAAAGAATCAATTCCAATTGAGGCCACGAGTCACTGGTGTTTAAGTCCAAGTCGAGTTGCAAGTCTGTTTGACTGTTTCACAAAGTGGAGTTTGAAGCCACCAAATTCTGAAGTATAAGTCATGTGACTCAAGTCCACACCTCTGCTGTTACTGGACTGTGTTATTAGAAAAGCATAACACTGTATTGTGTAGATTATAGTTTTAAAATCCCATATGAATAATTTAAAACGTTTGAGTTTTAAAAAGTCACAGCCACATATTTTATTTCACATTATATAAAAGGATCACATATTTTTGTTACAGACCAAAAGGACAGAAAAAACAATTACAACTACAGGTTTTGCTGAGTCCTTTTATGTGCCAGTATAGAATGAAATAAAACTGATGGTGCACATTGTTGTACATGAGCCCTTTACAGCAGAGGCAACACCTGCACACAATCACAGAATGCAAAGCAATAGTCCTTACATAAATGCTGTCTTTGTGAAGCTTATAATGCTTAGCTTTGATGAGACAGTCAGAAAGGAGTCAGTGTCACTTGAAGGTCATTTATAAAGAAGTTAGTTATTTCAGATAGAGACTCCTGCTTAACGAGGAAATAACAAAACAGACCAGATCAAATGAAAGATAAAGGGACACTTCAGATGCTTACAGTAACAATCTGAGCCGCTCTGTGCCAAAAATAACCACTTTTAATGGACATACAGTGACGATTGCCCTGTGAGTGCCCAGTAATTGCCCTATGTGCCTTCACCGCCGCTTGTTTTAGCGGCTGCCGGCTGTTGCAGGCTATCTCACTACTGGAACAGTTTAAAAAATTGTTGTTCACATCAGTGTCTTTGATCAATTTACACGCGGAAATAGGGTCCAGGTTGAAAAATGCTGAAGTTATCCTTTAAAAGGGCACTATACTGAAGGGTAACATTTTGTGATCATGTGCTTTCCTCCAGATAGCCTTTAAGTAAATTGATACAAAGTTCAGATTAATTGGTTGGATTGAACAGACGTATAAAGCACAAACAGCTTCTTACACAGATTACATAATGCTGTTGCTGCTGGTTTTCATATCATGTGAGTGAAACTGCTATAAGATAATTGGTGCTAACGGTTTCTATTGCTCCTTCTGAGCTGACATTTACATTTGAACAAGTTATATCTTATCACTCAATTACTGCATCACAGAAGATTAATCGTAGGTAGATTTTGGGGTTTGGGTGATAAATGCCACTGGATTTATCTACATTTTGGTTGACAAAAGTGAAGAGCTCACTGTCATTATTAAGTCTTTTTTAATTAAGTAGATTTCAAACCAATCTCAGAAGCCATCAGATATCGATCTGACAATGATTTAGACCCTGGGAGCAACGGCCAAGATGTCAGGGGTTCCAGCATATAGTGCAGTACATTGCAGATAAAAATAAAAGCTGATACAAAGGTAAATTGTCCTTGGACGATAGCTGATGGATTCTGAGATTGCATTTCGGCTGAGGCATTCTACCTCATTTGCTCTCTACACGGACTGTTAACTTGCATACAACCAGAGCCTGCTCAAATGTGATTGGTCAATACTAAACAGGACTACAAACACAAACCACAACACGTCCGATACCAAACACTTTTCCCATTGCCTATAGATTCTGTATATATACACACAGATATCTGTTTATAGGAACCATGTCACAATCTCGTGGTTGTTTCACTGAACCCAGTCGCTGCATGGCTGAGCACAGATGGTTCATATTATAATAAAAGCAGATGATATTACCAACCACTCCTTTTTTAGGGGACTTTTTTTTTATACCATTTAAACAATATCTCTGTCATATTTCAACATTTCAACATGGTTGCAAAGCCATTATTAAAACTGAAGTTGTTTTTGATGGTGACATTTTTAGACCAGCTGAATCTATCTGCTATTATGATGAGTATTTACATCATAATAGTGACCACATACAGTGCTTGGTAAAAAGTTGTTCACAGTCCAAGAAGTGGTCGTTTTCCAAAATGCCTCAAGTTGGGAGGAAAGCTTGGCACTCCGCCTCAGGGGCCAGCTGTGGTGCACCAGACTTCAACTCCACTCTGAGCATTTGGAGTTTTACAATTTCTACTACTTATCTACTCTTCTTGTTTTTTGTTTACCCTGAGCACACATATTTGTACAATCTGTAGAAGCCTTTGCGGGTACATCGTCTTTCTGTCAATGAACAGAACCTGGTTTTGATTTTCCCACAGATCTGCCGGTGAGAGGAGTGGTCCCCAGCACCCAGCGCTTTGGCACAGTGACTATGTTGGCACAGGCCCAAGCTGAACACCCCCCACCCCCTTTCCCAGGGCCCTGGGAGTGTAATACATTACTAACAAAATCCCACTTCCCATTCCTCTCAAACTTTCACACCCCTGCTCCCTCCCTCCCACGGCTGGCATGCCCCCTGAAAAGGGGTTCGGGGTGACATACGTATGACTCCTTCCATCTCTGCTACTTTTCCCGTCATTCCCCCAAGTGTTTTAGCTTCAACATTTCATCTTTTTTCAACGTAAGACTCAACATAAATCTTTAAACTAAACTTTTATAGTAGTTTTAAAGTACGTTTTAGAAATTTTTTTAAAGGTATGCCAGCTATGGCACTGTGGCAGAAACCCAGCTACCAAAACACACCAGAAAAAAATGCAGACCCTTTCACTGTTAAAGGGATTTAAAGGGAATAGATGCCTATTCACTCCAACACCGAGGTTATAAATATGAACCCTCATTCTGGAAAAAGCCTGGCTTGTTTGCACCGCGGTTCTCAGCACGGCATTGAGGGGAAAGTATTCACGGGCGTGTATGTGTCTGGGTAACATGTAATGACATTATTCTCACCAGGGTGACCCCTCATTGTCACCGCGCTTTCTTCTCCCGGGCTCGTGAAATTGACATAAGCTTTACAAACATTCCAGGCATTTTTTTCTCAAGGCAGGGATCTCTTTGGGGCCTTTCATAGTGAAAACCACCAGCATGAGCAGCACCACCTAGTGATGATGTAAGTACACACACTGCATGTGTCCTCCAGCCAAAACAAGGTATTGAGTCAGATTTATAATTAGTGTCCACTTAAAAAGGAATGCTTTTTAAGTGGACACTAAGGATGCTTTAAGTTGAATAAAACCAGCTTACAATTACTGGTGTGTGTGTGTGTATGATTTCAATCTAATAAATGTTTCAAACTATTTAATATACATGAGGCTTACCTTAAAGACTATGCAGTTTTAAATTACCTTGCAATATATGACTGGGCTTCCAATTTTGGGGCCACTTTTCTCAATGGAGCGATGAATTAGCACTTTGGGAACGCCCAGCCTGCTGTATCCCGTGCAGTCTGCAGAGATGTGAGATCTCCTCTTTATATCTGCAGGTAGAGAAAAGGCTATCTGTAACAGTCTTCTATTATATGACTTACACATCTAGTGACTTCCTGACCTGCCCAGGTGGTTGTCAATATAGTCCTGCAACTCTGACACCTGGGCCTCTGCAACTGTTGCTCTGGTGATGAGAAGGGCGAGCTCCTTCTCAAAGCCCACCTGTTTGAGAAAAGGAAATGAGGTGAGTGAGGTTATAAAAGTTGTTTTGCGTGAGGGATTTAATTCGACAATCCAATTTTTAAAGGCTGAGAGTTTTGTTTACCAGTGTAGCCTCTGTCATCTCCCTCAGCTGTTTCCTTATGTCCGTCCAGGATTCCTCGCATGCCGGCCTGATAATGTTACATTTTTCATAACTTTTATGACACAATCCACAGCTGACCACATTCGTCATTTGGTAAAATGCAAAAATGACACTCACTCCTGATGGCTTAAATTCTGATCGGGCATTTTGAGGCCAGCCACCTGGAACAGTTAAGTCAGGGTGAAGGACATAAACACATAAATGTATGTAAAACAATAAGGAAATCTAAATGAGGAGATGGAGTGTATGACATAAGCTGAATCTGAGCCAAATTATTTTGCTCCTAAAAAGTAGTCAGGTATTCTCTAATTATGGTTATGTCTTGTTTGTTTAATCTGTGCACAAACAGAAATGTAAAAACACCAACGTCTGGTTTTATAGGATGTCACATGCTTGAATATTTCTTGGCTGGCTGCAGTGACATCATGGAGTCCCTGCTAGTTGAAAGTTGCTGCTCCACTAAGCAAATTAGCATATTTCCAAAATAGGCTAACGCTTTCTTTAAAAGCAGGTCTAAAATAAACATTAACTGCTGACACTGCTTTGACAGTCACCATTAAAAACCGCCCAGTAAAGATTTAATAGCCACCCATCCATCAGTGCTTCTACATGATCTGCGTCAGTAAAGCCTTTTTGACGCCATAGGACAAACTTTAAAGTCTTTTTTTTTCAGTTAGCAGCTCACAAAACAAATAAGGGAAGTATGAACACAAAGACAAATCCCCACAGACCAAATACAAGCAATCGCCAGACAAAACAAAAGCTTAAAAGAAGCCATTTTTGTTTTGCGTTACCTGCTCCCGGGCCGCCTGCAGCTGACCCTCCAGCCTCGCTTTGTCCTGGCGAAGGTGGTGGAGCTCCTTCTCAGTTTCATCTCTGAGCTCAGTGGGCTCCAAACTGAAGTGGCCTTCTGGGGGTCCAGGGTTAAGACTACTGTCTGGTTCAGCCAAGATCTGCTCCCTCTGAACCCTAAATATCACAGTGCAACAGTGTTTTATCCTACTAGATATTTGTGTGAAATGATCTTATCAGTAGTGTATGAATTCTTGAGTTATAGCCAAAAATGTGTTTTGTGATTTCACAGTGACCTTTGACCACTAAAATCTTATCAGTTCATTCTTGAGTCTAAGTGGACGTCTGTGCCAAATTTGAGGAAAAACCCTGAAGGTGTTCATGTGATTGGAACAAACAGACAACAGGAAAACATTAATCAAATTTCTAATCTTTGTTTCTAATTGCCAAAAATCTTTACCTCTTCAGGCCTCATCTAAGAAAGGAAAATCACTAACATGATGTGCAACTTGTTATGAAGGGTCACAAATCAACATGGTTTTGTTTTAAACATACAGCCAGCAGATCGAGCACAAAAAACTGTCCAGAAATACTACAAGGGATGATGAAACAGCCTCTGCAAAAGAGTGTACTCATGACTAAAGTAAATTTCTTAAGTTTGAATAATTTCTTCAAATAGAACAGTTCATTTTTAGGATTTGAACACTGTGATATTTCGAGGGAAAACTAAAACATCAGATGTCAGGGTGTCAGTGTTGATTTTGATCAATGAAAAGAGGTTGAAGATGAAGCAAGTGTGTGAAACTTCGCAAAGTAGAGGTAAGGCAAGCTGTTTTTCAAACAAGCAACATGTCACTTAGCCTGTTCACTGATGCACAGAGCAGGTTAGGACATCTTCACTGGGAAAAAATGAAACAATCTTATGTTTGCTCATTTACATTATGTCAAGTTAGGAGGAGGTGTTAAGGGGTCATACGCAAAAGAGGTTGGAAACCACTGGTGTAGCAAGGTTTAGCAGCATGTTTATGGTATAGGTATAACCAGGCTAGACGTTAGGAAATACAAGCAGGGGGACAACATTTTCAAAAGTGGGCCCCTCATCCACACCCAACAGGCAACAGGGAAGGGGGGCAAATAAGATTTAGAGAAAAGGAAAATCAAACATTTACATAGGAAATTACTACAAAGTATTAAATCATAAGATCAAATCAGGAGTGAACGAATATTTTTGTTTTCTTAATTTTTTCATTGCATCTTGAGGCAACTTTAATCAAATATTGGTTGAATTGTATGCAGAACTCAAATAGTGGAAACAGTACATGGCTGTCAACTGTCAGTTTTCCAGTAACACCCAATTATGCAATTTAAAGACTGTTCAGGGACCCTAATGTGCAGAAATATTTAAATACACCGTGTTTTAAAAATGGGAATAATCCTTTTTCCCCTCAACAAAATTTAGCGTAACTTTGGAGCATTATTTGACCCCCTTTCCAACAAAATAGCATAACAAGATTACCAATGGATGCCTTAGGTCCCGTGGCTTAATATGATACCTGTGTCTTTATTGCAGCTTTAAAACTGAGCATAATACAGCAGTTTGTCTCTGCTCCTTTCATCATCTTCTTGTTCTCTCTGTGCTTTGACTTTTTTTTTAGGAGCTCCCGATTTTTGGTGGGGCATTCTGACTCAGCTAATCGGGCAGAGGGCATGGGTATAAACGCTGAAACACAGGACTTAAAAAGACACATATCCATGTCTTAAATAAGACTAAGCACACAGGAACTCCCACCTGTATGCAATAAGGAGAGCATGATGGGTCTTGGTGACCTTCTGAAGTCTCTTCTTATACGAGCGAGCAGCAGAGGCGAGCTGTTCCTCCCTGACCCTGTGGGATGAGCGTACATCCTGGAGCATGCTGTCCACATGTGCCCTCATCTTGGAGGTGTCTGAGGGGCTTTTACTTTCTCCAAGTCCATCAATGTATTCCTGAATGAAAGACACACAGATGGATGTTGTGTTAGAGACATTGTCCCACATTTGTTTGTAGACATGCCTGTGTAGGCACTGCAACTCACAGCTAAGTCTTGTAAATAGTACACAAGCCTTGCACGGTACTCCTCGTTCAGCTCTTTGACTTGAAGCTGCAGCTTTGAGTTCTCTTCTTCAACCTCCTTCACTTGGCTCTGGGAGCACATCAAGGCCTGGGACAGAAATGAGGCATAAACATGATTTGACACATTTCCACCAAGTAAACATTAATGCAGATGTTGGCGGAAAGTTACTGTAAATCAGTAGTCTTGCTCACCGCACTCCGCTCAGATAGCTCCTGCTGGCTATTGCGGATCGCCCTCTTGTTCTCCTGCTGCTCTTTCCCCATCGCCACCCTGCTGACCAAACACAGGCTCCACATCAGCCACATCAGAGCGACATTGCAAAGAGACCACATCACACACACACACCAAAGAAAGCCACGGCGTAGAACAAAAAATCAAAGCGGCGACCACAGAGCAGATGCCAGTGGGATGAACTCTGGGGACGTGCATCCTGAGATGGGTTTGGCCGTTTGATGACTGGAAATGGAAAGATAATGACGTTTCATCTTAATTAAGCTTGTGCACGAGTAAATGACAAACATTTACTGGCCCTCACACTCTCTGCTCCAGTTTCCTCTGCTGCTCCTCGTAGCTGTTCTTCATTTTCTCCAGCATGGCTTTGATCTCATCTTGGTTTCCAAGTAGCTATGTGAGAGCATATGAACGAAAATGAATAGACAAAGGAGGAAGCTGGTTTTACTGATGCCCGTAAAACATACGTGTTGGCCACTGATCCCAAGAGTAAATGTTTTGTATAAAAATACTTACAGTTTTTTCCATAGCTTTTTGCTCCTTGTCCAAAGCTGCCAGATCCTCAACCTGTCAATGCAATGATGTTATAAAATTGAAATAAATATTTGACTTACACCATGGCAAGCAAAGAGTGACGTTTTTTGAAGTCAAAAAGGAAAGCATTCATAAATGTGACATTTAAAACAGTCAATTTCTTGCACAACCAAGGTTTTGCCTGTGAGTATAAAATGGAAAATGATGTGGGAAACAGTAGAGTTGTATACCCAAAGGTACAGTTCCAGTGGTTGCCTGAACTGTTTGAGAGATGTGAGACACATGATCCTCACTAGAAATATTTATTTTTTTCATTTTTTTACATGGACAAGCACATGTTCTGCTTATGTTGGAGCTGAGTAACATTTTTTTTGGATAGCAAAAATTGGACTAACACGATCTATGTTTGGTTTTTCAACAAAACTGAGTGGTTTCAGTAATGACAAATTCTATTTTGGTGTGGGCAACTAAAACAGAGGCCCCAAAGTTCCAGGAACTTTAAACTAGGGAACATGCCAATTCCAATTTGCATCTAAAGAGCGGTGAAGAATACCTGTCTCACCTTGACTCTGTTGTGTGACATGCGGCTGATCAAGGCCCGCACCCTGTCCAGCTCACTGTGCAGGCCCTGGGTGGTAGTCTTCACACTCTGCTGCTGCTCCTCCACCTGCCTGCGGAGGGCGTCCTGGGCCTGAGCCAGTGCCAGCAGCTCAGCACTCAGCTCCTCACTCTGAACTAGTTCTTCATCCCGGGCCTTAGCCAGAGCACGGTAGTTCTTCTTCAGCGTGGTGTACTCCTCTGTCAGGTCTTGGCCGCTTTTTTCTCCCACTTTCAGACGAGCCTCAGCCGACTGGAGTTCTCTGAATAAAGTGTCTCGCTTCATTTCAAGCTCTGTTATTTCACCAGCTTGGTCCAATATCTAACAAGAGGGAATACAGTGTGGCACAGACAGCCTCGGTGAATCAGGATCACATTGAATATAGCCTTCATTTGTAGTGCTACAAACAACACATTTTACCCATGGCTTCATCAGGTTTGCTACATTTTACATACCTTACCAACTCATCGCTTCAAGCACACCCTCACCTTGTTTTTCAGCTCAAACGTCTCTTCTTCAAACTGCTCTCTCATTTTGTTTGCCTGAATTTTCTCCTCCACAAGCTCCTTAGATATCTGAAAGATGAGAGGGGAACCAGGGATAGATTCCTGAACAGGCCTAGTGAGGACAGGCCCAGGGACCCAAAGTGCCAGAGCCCCCCCTAGCCTTCACCTGCAAAATGTCACTTGAAGAGAAGCATACCAACCAGGACGAGACTCATAATGACCACAAAGCGATGCAAAGGAACTGCAAAGAAACACAAAACTACAAAAAACAGACAAAGCAAGCACAAAGAGACCAAAAACAACAACAAAAAAGACACAAAATTACCTCAAACAGACACAAAATAAGTATAAATAGGGGCAAAACAACCACAAAGAGACCCAAAACAACCAAAAAAAGACATAAAATGACCCCAAAGAGACACAAAATAACTACACAAAGGAGTAAAACAACCATAAAGAGACCCAAAACAACCCAAAAATACACAAAATTACCTCAAAGAAACACAAAATAACTATAAAAAGGGTTAAACAACCATAAAGAGACCCAAAACAACCAAAAAAAGACACAAAATTACCTCAAAGAGACACGAAATAACTATAAAAGGGGCAAAACAACCTCTGAGAGACCCAAAGCAACCAAAAAGACACAAAATTACCTCAAAGAGACACAAAATAACTATAAACAGGGGTAAAACTACCACAAAGAGACCCCAAACAACCAAAAAAGACACAAAATTACCCCCAAAGAGATACAAAATAACTACAAAAAGGGGCAAAACAACCACTAAGAGACACAAAATGAACTCAAAGAGATAAGGCAAGGCGAGGCGAGGCGAGGTGAGGCGAGGTAAGGTAAGGTAAGGTAAGATAAGATAAGATAAGACAAGATAAACTTTATTGTCCCACAGAATATTTGTCTTGGGCAAAAAAGTGCTACACACTACTGCATAACATTTGAAACAGTTCCTTACCACAGGACAAACCAGATATAATGGACAGCATGTTATCACATGAAATGGAACAAAAAATAAGGCTAAATACTGCACATACCCCATATTAAACAAAGCAAACTACAAGACAATAATACTACGAAATGCCTAAAAACATGTGATCGTGAGTTGTGCAAACTTAAGCACCCAAGCCTACCACTAAATTAAATCAACCTGCTGCTAAGCTCAGCAAGACGTTTCTATTATGTGGGATTAAGTAGTTGTTTGTGCAGTAATGCAATAGATATTGGGAGGAGGGAAAACATAAAACAATTACTTTTGCATCTGCTGGTTCTCTAACATGTTCCCGACAGAAATAATTGTATTCAGTATGAAGAATGTGTGTCAGATCATTTAGACTCCTGTGTGCATGTCTTAGCGCAACAAAAAAGAGGCAAACTCTGTGTTTCTTGCTCCTATGCAGAGGAGATGATGGGGCTTAGCATAGCTGCACCCAGGGGCCTCATAATCTGTTCATGCCAGGAACACACATTCTTCTGGTTTCATACAGAACATACATTAAATTCCTTTTCATTTAATCCCTGCTCAACACAGCTGATGAACTCTACCTTCAGTTTGTCCTCTTCACTCTGGACCAGCCTGCAGGACAGGTCTGTGTTGGAGCTGGCCAGGTGGCCCAGTCTGCTCTCCAGGTAGCTCACTTTGGTGAGGAGGCGGTCATTTTTGTCACGCAGCTGCAACTAAAGTGAGGTGAACAGAAACGGTTGGTACAATGAGGAGATAAAGGCACAATATTCACTTTCCATGTTGGCTGTATTGTAGCTACACCTCATGGACAGTTATGCTAACTACCTGAGTGCTCACTTCCCCCAGTAAGCTAGCATACCTCAGAGACCAACTGACGTTACCTAGCTAAAAATGGCCTTGTATAAGAGTATAACCCCGCATATGAAGACTGACAAGTGTATTTTACTTACATTTTCTTCTGTCAGAGCTTGAAGTCGCTCCTGAAGTTCATTTGAAGTTACCTGTGTGTCCATCTTTATCCACTGTCAGCAGCAGCTCACTGTATCCATCAACAATAAGTTGCCATGGCTCGACAACAGAGACAAAACCTGCTGTAGACAACGGTTATTTTTAGCTTACTCCATTTTATATCGAAGATTAACAAGCTACCACTTTTTTGCAGATACAAATGATACTGTAGATATTCAGAAATAAGTAAATTTAACGGTGTATTTGACTTTAACCAACCGTTGAGGATTAAAGCGTTACTTCCTTTGTATTACATAAATAGGCTGTATGGAAACCACATACGCTTACATTAAAGGGATAGTTCAGATTTTTTTTTAAAGTGGGGTTGTATTGGTTACTTATCCATAGTTAGTGTATTACAAACAGTACATGTCAGTCAGCACATCCCCATTTGGGAGAAACTGACTGGAGTCTGGCAAAGAAGCTAAGCAATGTATTGCTGTGGATGGGCTCCGCAACAAAACATATATTAGCCACCTAAAAAAGTCCCGCCTAAAAATATCAATATCAGTTTAAGTGCAGGCTATATTGAGAATATTTTCACCACTTTGTGTTTTTATCAGACAACCTGTTTCCTCAGAGAAGCCGTTAACAGCTCCTAGCTATGCTCTCGTCAAAGCCACCACACGCCATTGACAAAAACAGTCATTTTAGCTCACTGAACACAGGAGTTTCTAGTCTACTGCTGCCTCAATCAGTTAGTTAATTTGTGTTATTGTGTAACTTTGGTGAATCCTAGCTTACCCTTTTATATGCCAAAGTCACACAATAACACAAAAAGAATAACTGTTTGAGGCAGTAGACCAGCAGCTCCTGTGTTCAACATTGTTAAATCATTGTTTTTCTCAATGGAGTCTGGCTGGTTCACTTTCCCATTAGAAAATCACTGTCTGAAAGCAGTGAAAATATTCTCAATACAGCATACACTTAATCTGATGTTGATTATTCTAGGTGGGACGTTTTTTAGGTGGCTACAATATGTTTTGTTGCTGACCCTCCACAGCAGTAGCTCACTTAGCTCCCAGCCTGCTTCTCCATACTGGGGACCTGCCGACTGTCATCTACTGTATGCAATGTACTGTCTATGGATAGGTACCTTATACAACCCCACTTTAAAAAATCTGAACTATACCTTTAAATTATTGCTTAGATGTGATTTAGCCTTGATGGTTTCAACCTGGAAACCAACAAGGCTGGACCATGCCTTACCCACTCTCCACTGAAATGTATTTGAGCCACTGCTTCTTACATTTACCAGGTTAGTAAATGTCTTTGAAAACAGCGCCATCTTGTGGCTACAGTAGAAAACAACTAAGCTTGATGGGCTGGTATATCACTGTAACAGACCCAATGCTGGAGGGTAACTAGTTACATGTAATCAAATGACAAATAAATGTAAATGTAATCAATACAGTTGCTAAGAAAAAAAAGTAATTATATACAGTTCCCAATCAAAATGTTGGTGATTCCAAATTAGTTACATCCGTATGTATTATTCTGGCAAAAAGTTTATATACAGAATATAACATTACTTGTGTTACTTTGCATCTGTTTGCCATGCAGGAATACCTTCTTTTGACATAGACAATTTTCAGACATTTTTCAGCCTTATTGCATTTCTTAGAAATGTAATTAAATGTATTAAGTTACACTACTTTGATGAGGTAATTAAAATAGTTACACTAATCATTACAATTTTTACAGAGCATCTGGTAGTACATTTTAAAAGTAACTTTCCCAACACTGGTGACAACACTGGCTTCATGTTATGGTTAAATAATGGGTATTGTCTCACACATACAATGCGGTTTAATTTTAAAAATATTTTATTATAGGAACTTTAACAATGTATAGGAACAACATATAGTAGTGTAAAACACATAAATTCACGTGCTAAGTAGAAATCGACTCACAGGTTATCAAAAATAGCGGAAAAATTCTTTACAGAAATTTGACTTTTGACACAGAGGATACTTACATTTAATACATTAACTGAATACAAAATACGTTGTACCAAATGATTGTAAACCTTATCATCAGATGTGGGGATAAATCTACAGCAAACATGTTAAATATAAAATTCAGATGAAACGCAATAATCTGTGTTCAACATTGCAAGTGAAGATTCAGTGGAATTTAGACAATCTAGTGTATATCTGAATGCACGACCTCTCCATTAGACTGACATATTGTTTAAATTTATGTGAATATGACCATTAATATATCAAAACTATACAATTAGAGCCCCTTATGTTGATTCTTTGACTTCGTCCTCTATCACACTTTACAGTTGCACTTTAATATATTGCAGGTCACAATATTGGTTTATGAGGTAGGAGACACCCTGTCTTTAAGAGTGTGGAAGATTTTAAATAACCTCACATGGTCTTGGTGTCACTTTTTCTTCTCTCGTCTCTTCTGTCTTTGCTCCACAGTACTCGTCCATGTATGTGATAAACAAGTGCCCTCCGTTACAAGCAACTACTGTGCTCATTTCACCAATGTGACTTCTGTTGGTGACTCTGACACCAACTGCAGTTGTCCCCGGTCTCAGAAAGTGCAGACTCTTGCATATTCATGCCCTTGAAAATGCAGATTCTTGAATCCAAATACATGAAAATATATTATATCATTAAAAAATCCTAAGTAAGATTTATTTAAGAGACATTTAAGTCTTCCTCCACTTCATCCTCCTCCTTCACATTGTGCCTGTGTTCACCACGCTCCATGGGTATACCCAACTCTTTCTGCAGGGCCTCTAGGCTGGCCTGGCTAACGTAGTACCTGACGTTCTGCGATGGCAAAAGCTTCTGGAGCTCCTCCAGCTTACGGTAGGCCTTGAGGAGAAAGATGGAAAGAAGAGCCATAAATCTGGAGACATTAACAATCGTCATTTCACCTAATTAAAAAAGTAGGAAAACATGGTAGTCACCACTTGGTAGTTGCCTTGCTGACAATGGTGTTCTACCAAGAATCCAAATGCATCGCCAATCCTGACTGCAGGGTCCAACTCAGGCTCCTCCAGCAAAGCTTCACATAACCGCACTGCCTCACCAGCATCCTCTGCATACAGCCTGCAGAGGACAAAAGCAACTAAAAACACCTTCCACAACAAAGTGTCTGTTTCTGAAGGAAAAAAGATGGACTTATCAAGATGCAAAATAAAATGTGAGTTATATTCTTACCTGCGTGCGAGGACAAACTTCTTGATTAGTGTGACTCTGTGCTGCAGGTCAGCCAGTTTTACTTCATGTTGTCCAGATGAAGAGTCCTTTGCTTTTGAGAGGCACTTGTAAGCCTCAGTCAAAGCGTCTAAAGCCTTTTCATAGTTCTGGTAATCATCAATCTCCACCTTAACGGTAATGGTAATGGTAAACAACAGCAGCAAAGACAAACAGTTATTTGACAAATGTATTTTCTCTATTGCAACTATTATAAATGACATATCACCAGAAATAGAGGGGTAACAATTATCCAACAGAACATGCTTATGCTTTGAGACCACAGCCTTTAATTTAACAGACTTCTTCCAAACTGCTTATTGTCAACTCACGTCCAAACAAGCACTAACAACAAACACCACTAAATCAATGGATATTTTTATGACGTATTGCTCTACCTGAGCACAGGCTTCATAGAAGCCAGCCAGTAGGTCTGGTGCCCTGCCTTTGGTGTAGAAACCAATGATTGTCTTCAAGATCTCTGGATCCTTCCGCCAGTCCAGAGACTGGAGGTAGTTGGCGGCCATGATGAAAAGCTCCTTCTGGCGAGAAATAGTGGCGAAGAATACTATTTTCTCTGTGTCACCCGACTTGAGGAGTGCCCTCATGGCCTGTTGGGAAAAATAACCAACATTATTTAGGTTTAACACTGGCATATATGAACTTGCATCATATTTGTGTGTGTGAACTGCACATGCTGCTGATCAAGTTCATTTTTCTAAAGTGTACCTCTACTCTTTATTCAAGTGTATTTTTGAGCCAGTAATCTTCTTTTTATTTCACTTATTTTTGCCAAAGAAGCACCACCTGTCTTTTGAGATTCTACCCACCCCTGTACAGCGTTTACTACACATAACAGTATTACCTTGAGCTTGTTGCCGGCCTGTGTGTATTTCTTCGTGGCTAAGTGATAATTGCCCTGACGCATGCAGCAGTCTGCTATCCTCTCCAGCAGCTCCTTTCGGGCCTCTTCAGACAAGTCTTTTGAATCAGTCACAGTCATTCTCTCTGCCAGCTCCTCTGTGATGGTCAAGCTTTGGGTCACACACAGCTCCAGGGCTTGATGGTACTTTGTTCATGTACACACAAATGAAAAGACACACATAAGAACGCAGATATGAACTGATATTTTCATGTACGAGTGATGATGTGTGACAACCAGGTACCTTCTTGGCTGCTACCAGTAACTCCACAGCCTTTTCATACTGGGAATGCGTGATGAAGAAGTCGGAGCAGCGTGCCAGGAGGGCTGGGTCAGAGTACTCATTTAGATCCTCAGCAATCAGCTGGAGTGCAGAGAACTGCTGGGTGGCAAAGGCCAGCTCCAGAGCTTTGGAGACATAACCAGCCTACAGTGGAGAAATTAGAAAAAAGACATCATGCTGTAACAACAACAACAACAAAAAAAAAAAATCCTCTGGCTTCACATATACAGCGCAATAATGCCCCCTTGTGGAGATATTTAGAATGCATCAACCTGGGCATAACCTCAGTCATTCAGAAAAAGCAGACATTTTGTGAGGGACCTTGTGGTAGAGTGAGACGGCTCGGTCCATGTGGGTGCCTTTCTCCTCGTAGTAACAGGCAGCCTCCATCATGTCCTCTGCGTTACTGAGCAGAGCCAGATTCATCAGCTGATCATCCAGACCATTCTCCTGTTCAGACAGGACACACACACATCAACAACTCACTGAGGGGAAGACTGAAGTGATGAATGAACAATCAGCATTTCTGCCAAAGAATATCATGATAAAATAATTCATGAATACCTGTATGTTGGGTATTCAGAGTACACAGTTCCAGTGCTTTACCTTACAAAGTCGTATGGCATTGTTGTAGGCCTGGGCTCGTGTGTAGAAGTGGACAGCCTGTCTGATATCATCATGGCCCTCATAGTGCCTAGCCAGGTGGTATGATGCTGCCCTGTCACCTGTATCATTGGCTATCTCAGATGCCTGATAAAAGACATGAATACATATTCTCACATTTATGGACAGCACAGTATATCAATATTACTATTGGATGTTTATCAGCACAATATGTACCTAAGCTGCCAAACAAAGGCAAAAGAATGACTTTTTGTTGTTTTCAGAACAATAAAGACCTGCTCTTTCATATAAACAAATATTCTGTGTTGCTTTTTGCTGAAAAAAAAAGCAGGTTGTGTTTGCCTTACTTAAAGGAGCAGTGTGTGGATTTTGTGACATCTGGAGATGAGGATTGCAGATTGCAATCAGATGAAACTTCTTCCATGTGCCAAGCGTGAACTCCCAGTTAGGATTCCTTCAATGTTCATTGTTCAAGAGGTTTTTTTTTTCTTTATTGTGAGCCGAATTATCCATAGAGGTCTCGTCCTCTCCAATACAAACTTACCAGGTGATTAACACCTGTAAAAACACTAAATAAAGCAGTTTCACATGTTTCTTCAACACTGTTCCGCTCATTACAGACAGGCTGCTAGCCAAGCACCTGCTGATGTGTGCTCACCTTTTTTCTCTGATAATTTAAGATCCAGATATTCAGGAGGTTTTTACCGAGAGCCGAATTTTCCGCAGAAGTCTCCTCCTATTCTGACAAACGGACCCAGTGATTTAAACCAGTAAAAACACTGAATAAATCAGTTTCACATTAAAAATCAGTGTTTTTCCAATGCTGTTCAGCTTGTTGCAGAGAGGCTGCTAACTACGGTGGCCAATGCAAAAACACGAATGGTCCTATCTAGAGCCAGTGTTTGGTTTGTCCACTCTGTGTTACTGTGGAATTGACGGTGCAACGTGGCGGACTCTGTGGACAAGGACTTGCTCCCTATGTAGATATTAACGGCTCATTCTAAGCTAATTAAAACACAAAAAATGTTATTTTCAGGTGATTTTTTTAAATAACTTCATGTAAAAAAACAAAGAATTGCCACATTTCCAATATTATACCAACAACTCATTTGGCTAGAAACCAAAACAACTTCGTGAGTTAAGGTCTTTTGCCTTTGTAGGACAGTATGGGTCAAGTGCAAATAATGAGAGTTATGTCACTGTGGAGGGCTGTCATTCAAAACAATAAACATAAAATATTAAAAAAAAAAAAAAAAAAAGGTAATTTCTTATGTGCATTACCTAAAAAGGAATAAAATGTAACTTGTTTTGATAAAGTATTATACATGTTACAGGACACCCCTCATACAAACTGAGTCACCTTCTGAATGTTCCCCATGTAGCATTGGACTCGAACCAGTGAGAGATAATCTTGGGCACATTCATAGAAACGCAGCGCTGAATCCATGTCTGACTGGCTCTCCAGGTACTGGGCCCACCACTTATAGATGTTCCTAGATGGATAAGACAGATCTGCTGTTTAAATGTAACTTAGTGTAAGTGGCAGTATGAGAATCATGCGTTATCCTCTTCAGAAAGCTTTTTTTTTTTTACCACCAAGAGTTGCTCAGGACTTACTTGTCTTTCATTTTGTTGACATAGATCTCTAGAGATGATGTGTCGTCCTGGAGCATTCTGGGCACTTCGACTCTGTGTGTGTCTGAGTTCTCATAACTGTAACAACAAGGCTGACAGTCACACTTGGTTTCCACAGTAAGACACAAATGCCAAAACTACTACATCGTTCACATAAAACCACAACAGATTCTGTCTTACTATGCGAGGGCCAGGCTCTTGTCTCCCATGGACTCAAGGTATTTGGCATAATTGTAGTAGGTGGTGCGCAGGTGGATCCGATCGTGGCTCTCTGCTGTTTCCAAAGCTTGCTGCCATTGGCCGAGAGCCTGGTAGAAGTTGTTCAGCAGGTCATAGCGCTGACAGCTCTTGTACAACTTTTCCGCATCTTCCTATTGGAGGACAGGAAAAGATGATGGAAAGATGAGTGCTTTTGGTTTGGGAAAGTCCCACGGTCTTTACATGGTGCAATGCGGAGGCCTAAAAAGAGGGCGTGTGATTTGTAGCCAAAGGATGTGGCATTATGTTGGACTATGGCTTTGGGGTTATTCAAGAAGAACAGAATAAATATGCTCTGGGTGGACTGTATATTCTGGAACGAGGGAGTGGCCTTTCTGTCTTTATCATCTTATATTTTCTCTATTGCAATTTTTTTTTCTGTTTTTGAATGTTTTCTCAGACTAAAAATGATGAATGAATAAAAGAATGAATAGTACATCACTCAATATATATTTCATGTCTCTATCTGTCATATTTAGAATTTCAAAAGCTTAAATGTAAAATTAAAGGCTACCTTACAGCCAAACACAGAGAAATAAAATAAAATCTGTCTTTAAGGTACCCCATAAATAGGACAGAGGAAAATGGGCACAAGCTATTCTATTAGCCTATTTGTGAGTGAAGCAGTGAATATATATATCCGTTATTTACACTCTAATAGTTGAATATCTCACCAGCATGCCGAGCTGAATGGCCAACATTGCCACTTGTGCTTCTGGCTCAGGCTCAGCCTCCGCCTCCTTTAGTGCTTTTGCTGCCCTGGCATTTCCCATATTCCCAAGGCACACGCGTGCCACATCCAGTCGGCGGGTTTTCACACACATCCGTGCCATGTTTTCCCATACCGCTTTACTACAGAGAAAAGAGAAATGGGTTGTTTGTAGGGGTAACATGTGGCTCACTGCATTGGAATTCTAGTATTCAACAGTAAATACAGTTACACAGAATTATTTACAGTTCAGGTTTATATTTTAAACCCTTAGTGTGCACGTAAGAATTTTGTGACAAAGCTGTCCCAAAAATGTATTTGTTCTCACTGGCCAGACCTCTAAGATTGTAGTATTAGTTCAACATTTACCACGATTATAACAAAAATCTCCTGCACATACACATTGTATAAGCACAGAGATGTAAGAATGTGTGCAGGACTTTAACACAAAGCAAGAGGTGTGCTTTTTATCTGTCTTTCCTTTTTTTCTTTTGTCTTGCTGACGTAAATCAGCCCCTCTACCCCCTTTTTTTCTTTTGCTTCAATTCCAGATTTAAGATTCCACAGCCATCTGGTCTCTATTTGCGTCCACCTCCCTCCTCCGTGCTTTAGCTGATACAGATGTGGGCTGTTTATTAAAGTTAGGCAACAGGAAATACCCCAAATCTTTAGGGGCCCTGCTGTACGAGGGGGGGAACGGAGGCCAAGTGAAGAAAAAGAAAGCAAGAGTAGCAACTCTCGGCCAAAAACTTGCTCTATATGGTCACAGAAAAACCAATCCTGAAACTGAAACGTGAGATATTTTAAAGTGCTGAGAAAAATGCAGCGAGCTGCACACAGGGCGGCGAGATCTAGAGAGCCAGAAAAGGAAAGACAAGAGAAGGAACAGGTCTACATTTGGCCCCTCTTCCCATCCTCTTTTCCTCTCAGGAAACACATCCTGTTGCTGGCTGACTGCGGCGGCCAATATGTTTGTTGCACATGAGAGAGAGGGAGAGGACTTTAGCGAACGCCCCCTGGGTTCCAGACAAAAGAATACACAACAGTGACGTCTAAGAGGGGGTCTTTTTGGACATTCTCTCACACAAACACACAGACACACACACACATTTAAAGTGTTCATGACGGAGGGAGCTGCCTATTAAAAGCTTGCTACAGTTGCGAACTGATGTCTCAGTCTGTGACGAGAAGCAACTCCCCCACATTTCAACTCTGACCTCAAGGATTTTGCGAAGAAACAGTGAGTGAGGGAGCGAGGGAAAGACAGAAAGAAGCAAAAGGAGGTGGGTTAAAGGACTTCTCGTTCCAGTCAGGCAGAAGGGGCTCTCTTAGTTGAGAGAGTGTCTTGGTAAGCCTCAGTAAAGCCACTGACGAGTCAGCTCTGAGCAACGCTGTCCAAGAATCTTTGCTTATTTGCAACTGCACTCTTCTGAAGGCAATGTGAAGTGGCTGAAGGGAAAGGACAAATAAAAAATCTACTGCCTGCACAGGGAGGTCTGCTGCACACACAGAAGTCAGACCAGTACAATAAGCAACACGCTGAAGAAGGGAAGATAAAGGAAATCAAGCAAGACGCAAGATCCAAGAGTCAAGCTGCAGCCAGCCAGAGCCAGTGGAATGGACCTAGGTGCCAGTTGGATTAATCCAGGCGTACCCGCGGTGCTGTCTGAGGAGGAGGGCTGAGGATCTGCTACGACGACATCCAACTCCTGAATGAGGATGAATGGAGATGTCCTTTAGCTAAGCCTCAAAGCAAGACAACTGCCAATTCTCCCTCTGTGTGAGCTGGGACAACACTAGCTAACAGCTGGAGGAGGAGGAGGAGGTGGTGGTGGTGGTGGTGGCGGAGGAGGAGGTGGAGAGGAGCCAGGAGGCCCAGAGCACTGCTGGTGCTGCTGCCCCACAGGAGAGGCGAGGGAGCGGGCAGGACACCGCGGAGGATCAGGGGTCGGTGGAGGGACACGAGGTAGGGGGAGAGGTGGCGGGCGTCGGGCGCCGCATGGCCGTGCAGAGGCTGGTGGCGGCAGCGGTGGCAGTAGCCCTGCTGTCCCTGGTCCTTAACAATGTCGCAGCCTTCACCCCCAGCTGGGTCCTGCAGGCCCTGGAGGACGGACGCAAGCGGAGTGTGGGACTATGGAGGATGTGCCCCACTGGTGGGGAAAGGGGCCGCGATGATCTCCAAGCTGGGAGAAGGGGGCAGGGGACACAGAGGCAGTGCGAAGGTCTGGGATGGGGCTCTGATTATGCAGGCTACCAAGAGTCCCGCAGCACAGTCAAATGTAAGTTTTTATGCTATTTCTGATTTAAAGCACAATATAATGATGTTATTTATGTCCTATTTTTAACTTCAAAGTGTACTTCCTTTTTCTCATTACACTGGCTGACTCATAGATTGGTGTATCCAAGATTTAATAGTCCTCATCAGCAACATATGCAGTAGTAGGGCCAGAGATGATTAACATTTACAAACTCAAAGCCAAATTACTGAATTCAAAGAATGAACAAGCACAGATTAAATTGTTATGTACGACCCATCTAAGTGCTTTTCTTGAGGTCAATGATTTGATATATTGGTGTAAACAGTAGCACATGGCAGCCAGCCAATACTTAATAGAATGTGATATATTTTAAAGCCAAATGCATCTTTTGTTGGGCCATTATGTTGAGTATAATCACTAAGTGGATGAGTTTTCAGGCAGAGTCAGTGTTGGGATGGATTTAGCTGCTTTGCTAAATTAAGCTCCATTGAGAAATTTTCATTCAAGGAAAAAGGGTGAAAGTCCGCTGGCCAACTCTACTGAGCACAATGGGCAGCACTGCCTACTAACGTTAGACAAAGACATGCCTCACCATTCATGATAAAACTGTTATCGTGCCAATGTTGCTAAAAATGTAAACTACATTCCCCTTTAAAGATAAAGACCTCGGATTTAGACTCAACCTAACTTGTCATGCATCACAGAGCAGTAAAAATGACACAGCTCTTTCTCTGGTCCCTCAAGTGCAGTTTGACATGATGCGGGCATGTAACCTGATGGCGACGGTGGCCCTGACTGTCGGCCAGCTGATCTTCCTCCTAGGCCTGATGGAGCTGCCATTCATCACACAGGAATCCCAGTGGTGGGAGGAGGCCATTGCTGCACTCTTCCAGCTAGCCAGTGAGTACCAAAGTTTCTACACCTTGTTTGTTTGCATCAGCAGAGGACAGGCCTCAGAGAAGCACCTGTCTGATGAAATATTCTGCTATCTCACAAACTATTCACAATATGCAATTTTAGTAGAAATGGTAATTTTTGCATTTCATTTCATTTCGCTGATAAGAGTATAGAAATGATGATAATGTGATTTTCGCTGGGGTCTGTACCAAAAAATAATGTTTCCTTACATCTAAAATATGATTTGAAGGCGGAAATATCCCTGTAGCATCACGATGCTTCATCCTTTATCAAAAAACTGCGACTTTTGTGACATGGATATTGCACTTGGCCTAATGGCAGGCCTACTCTGCACATAGTGTCACCTCGACACAGAAAGAGAGAAATCCAGATGCTGCAGGGCAAAGCTCGCATGCTCTCTGGTAGAGTGCCAAAGAGAGGGGATAAAATCACAGGGGGTGCTAGACTGGCTGACTCTCCACCTCTGAAGATCAGGCTCTGGGAAAATATATTTGTTTACTAAATCTAAGTCCAAATGTAGGTAAAATGTGACTGTCAGTGCACAGTAAAGGAAGTCCAACATCATTATTTTTGAACATGCTGAAACCGCAGTGTTTCTGATTTTGGCATAGAGTGACAAAAAGTATAAATAAATCAAATACAACAATAGACAAACTAAGACAGGAAAAAGTAGGGGAAACCAGAAAACAGACAGAGAGCCATTCTCATGATTAATTAGCACTGGACATCACTTAATGCAGTCATTGTAACACACCCACTCCACCACAACCAGCACCCATCCATCCATCAATCTATCTATCTATCTATCTATCCCACTGTACCACACCAAGAGCTGGCTGGTATGGCCTGTGCCAGCGCCCCTGCTGAGGAAGCGTGTTGTATTGTGTGCAGTGGTCGCTCAGCCGGTTGGTATCATTGTGGCAGAGCGGCATGAAGGGGGTCTGCTCTGGGTCTAAATTTAGTCTTAGTCCAGAGTCCATGGGCCAGAGCTGCAGCGAGCCAGGGAGCGACTGTCGGGCGCCAGGATATCCCTGCTCAGGACGAGGAAATGTCTGTGACTACCTGTTATGCAAACCCCCAAGCTGAAGAAGGAAAAAGAGGGGAGGGGGAATGGACGGGAAAGACAGTTTCGACAGGGACTGTGTGTTTGTGTGCGCACTGGCAGGAGGGATTTTGTGCATGCATGTCTGTGTATTTCAATGTGTGTGTGTTGTGGCTGTGTGTTTATAGTGTGTTTTGCTGGAGAAATGTCCTGTGGTACACAGAGGAATCGCCTCTGTCTAGATAAGCTGGCCTAGCTTTTATGTCTGTGTTTACAAAATGTCCAAGAGCAGCGGCAAATAAAGAATCTGCTCTTTATCGTTAGCATCTTCAGCAGCAGGGATCAGGGCTTTTGTCTGAGACCCACCCAACATTACAGCGTTTTCCAATATTAGACACCACCACCAGCAGCCAAACCTCAGTTGACCAGGAACTCATCTCACCTCATGGTTAATGAAGACAATGGCAAAATAAACAAACAATCACCAACACAGATGGTACACAATGGCTGCTTTGATGGTCAGGGATGACCTATGATACTATGTCCACATATGTTGGCATTGGTGACAAAGTCTAAAAAGTACTAAACAGTACACACCTATTTCCCTGACATCCAAAAATAGTAGTGCTCTCTGAAAAAACAGCATCTTCCAATTTTACTCTCTTACCATATATGGCAAACAAAGCTGCTGAGTCATAAGATGGCATGTTTCTTGGTGAATGGGATGTCTCCATCCAAAAATAGAATACTCAGGAAATGAGTATCAAAGAGTATAATTAAGAGTTTAGCAGATATGAATTGCATTAGACAATACGTGGACAATCTAAGTGGAATGAGGGGTAATTAATTCTTCAAGTAGTTCTTCATTGCGTTTCTATCATTGTCAATGGGGTTTCTCTATATATTCAACTTCCTTGTCATTTGGGAGTTTTTAATAAAATATAAATCTAAGCAGAAATGACAAAACAATCCCTACTCAGGGGACATTTACTTGTTTTATTCAGGACTTTGAACCATATCAGATGGTCTTCATCTGCAGATGGAGCTTATTTTTGACAGAAATAGTAGTTTGGTAGATTGTAGTCGTTCATGATTTTTTTTCTAAGGTCGAGAATGACCATCTGAGGTAATAAAAGAATTAACTTTGAATCTAGATCTGAAACGTTTAGTGAATTTTTCAATTAAGTCAATCAACAGAATAATGATCGGTTGATAACTACTTGATATCAGCCGTTTTTCAAGCAGCAAAAATCAACAACCACACTCCAGGCTCTGAGAATAAACACAAGCATGTCTGTATCAATGTGCATGGCAATTAGTCCAATTAATTTCAAGACATTTCACTCAAAAAAGGTCAACCTCATAGTGTTAGATGGAAAGTCCCAAGTCATTCGAATTTATCCTTCGGGCATTGTGGATATCTCTACCAAATTTCATGGGAATACTCCCAATAGTTGTTGGGATATTTCAGTCTGGGCCAAAGAAGTGGTGGACCAACCATCGGACTGACATTGCCATCCCTAGAGACGCAACACTAGTATGTTAATAGCAAAGTCTGCTTCTCAAATTTGCTGTTGTCTTTGTGTCAAAGTCTGTCTTTGTGTTTGTCCCATAGTAAAATGAATATTTATTTATTTTTTCAAGTTGATTAATAGAGAAAATAACTATCAGATTCATCAATAATGAAAGTTAGTTACTTGAAGGGGTTGTAGTTTTTTAAGTGGGATTGTCTGTGGTACATATCCATAGTGAGAGTATTACCTCTGGTCAGTATGCCCCGCTTTGGAGAAGGAGACAGGAGTACCACCACCAAAGAAGCTAAGTAATGTACTGCCGTGGACAGGGACAGCATATTTTAGCCACCTAAAAAAATCAATATCACTTAAAATGTACGCCACATTTAGAAAATTTTCTCTGCTCTACCTTGCCATAAAGACAGCCCTTTCCAATGGGGAATTAAAGCTGTTATATTGCTCTCTTCAAAGCTATAATACTCCATTGACAAAAGGACTAATTTTACCTCACAGAACACAAGAGTTGTTGGCCTAACGCTGCCTTGATCAGTTCAATTGGTTTGTGTTGTTGTGTGACTTTGGTATTTTAGAGGGTTAGTTCGGATTCACCAGAGTCACAAAATATAACACAACCAAACTGACCAATCAAGGCAGTGGCCACCAACCAGCAACTCCCATGTTCTTTGAGGTAAAATGACTGTTTATGTCAGCAGAGTCAGGTGGCTTTGAAGAAATCATAGATGGATATAACAGCTTCACTTCCCCATCGGAAAGAGCTGCCTGACAGCAAGGTAAAGCAGTGAAAATACTCTAATATAGCATACCCTTAAACTGATATTGATTTTTTTTAGGTGGCTAAAATACGTTTTGCAGCTGGCCCTGTCCACAGCAGCATTCAGTAATCCATTCACCACTGCTACGTTAGACCTCCCCCGTGAAGTCAGTGAATGAGTTTCACCTCTGAATGAATGGAGATATTTTTACAAATCGCTCTCTTTCTCAGGAATGTTTTCATTTTCAAACGTGCCAAAATGCTCAGCTATTACAAGCAGACTGTGGAATAACAATATCCAATTCCATTCAGTGATATCTCTCTAGTTTTGGCAGGTCCCCGCTGAAAACACAATATTGGTTGTTTCACCCCTGGAGACAACTCTGGAATGTGTTTTCTGAATGGACAAAGCTCAAAAGTCATGACTGCAGGTCATGTCCCTCTGAGACACACATTACCATTTCTGTGATTTTGAGGAATTTCAACTGTGGGGCTCAGTTCAGATCAGTTAAATCTGGCTCAGGGAGGAGTCAATGTTTCCCAGGAATCTGTGGCTCAAGAGATTCCTGCTAATAAGGGAGTGTTAAAGGTTTGAGCAAGATGTCCAGGCAGGCTAGCCACCCTAATCAATTATGTGCCCTTTAAGTATAAACCAAGACATTACTAACTGGAAGGAAAACAAATCAGTGAAATGAATTTCCAAGACCTGGACTTGAGATAAGACTTCTGTGTGACAGATCATGTCAAATGTCTAGCAAATATATTAACCTCGAAGCTTAGGGTGTGGGGAGGAGGGAAGGAAGGAAGGATGGAAAGAGGAAGAAGGGGAAGGAAGTTTGAGAGATAAGTCTGTGCCAAAAAAAGAGGTTCACACAGCCCACCCTGACTGGAACCTGGACAAGAGATTATTCATTTTCTTGGATAAGGAGCCAGACAGGTTCAACGCGAACAGATTAAACTGTTGCATTCTTACGCATACATGCGGTGGTTGACACGCAACGATACACAGACACAATTATCCACATCCTTACTTAAAACAATGACAGCCATCTTACTGTAGAGGAAGAGAAAGAAATTTAAATGAAATCCCCCCCTTGGTGCCGCTGACTGCTTCAGGAAACTGACTGATTCATATCCTAAAGCACCAACATCCATATTTCCAGTGATTATTTTTGGTCCCTGTATTTATACCACTGTGGACAGGGCACATTTTCAGACTTGTATTATTGTTGAACTGTTGGATGGCTCCAGACCACACTTGAATGAGGGATCGACTGGGCGATACCTGAGTAGCATTGATCAATGTCGGCTTTCATACACACCTCTAAGGAATGAGGAAAGGTGTGGGCTGTGGAGACAGTGAATAACTTTCCACATTAGATCACGTCGATAAAACAAAGTAAAGATCAGAGGAACAGCATGGAATTGAAGGGCTGTGGCTTTTTACCTTCGCATGCAAACAGCAGTTCCTCATTGCGTGAGTTACTGTAAATCAAAGAAATCAGGAGATAAAACATCTCAAAGGCCTTTCCGCGCATACATTCATGCTCTGATATTTTTTGTGCTATTAAGAACTTTGATCTAGAGATCTCAGAAGTTCTTCCGAGGAGGAAACAGATTTCCAAATTCAAAGGCCCCACACAGAGCTCCCACTGAACTGTGAAATACAAGCCCACAGGGATGGAAGTCTAAATGTGACCATGCAGGATTTTAAAAAGACACTTTGGGTTCAGGTTTTCACTCTGATGAAGACGCACCTGGCATCGAAACATTAGTCCCTTAAATGAACTTTGTTAAGTCAAGTCCGTACTTAAGACAAAATCTCTGAATTCTCTCCTGACACTTCTGGTTCATTTGCCACTCACTGTTAAATTACTGTATCTTTAAAGGTGTTGTGGCTGAGCAATATGGAGAAAGTCAAATATCACAATATTTTTAACAGAATACCTCAATATCAATATTATAATATTTATTGTGCTTTCACAAAATTTTTACACAATGTGATTTTTGATGATTAATCATCTGTAATCTGGATATAATGACTAATTAGGTGAGGGTGTCTACAGTTATCAGACACATAAATTCAATGCTCTTTAAGACCCTTTTAAGATTATTTTTAACCAAGAAAAAAAAAAGAAAAGAATCAACACTAATTTATGAAAAATCATCTTTTTCTTTCTAGTATAAAGGCAAGTTAGATTTAAGACCCTTTCAGACTTTTTTAAATGACATTGAGAATGAAAATTAAGACCAATTTTACAATAACCAATATTATAGAAAAAAAAACAAGCCTGAACTGAAAATAACGACATCTATGACAGGGGATTAAAAGCAATTTTAATCTACTTTAAATGTTGGGGGAAAAACACCTTATAGGAATGGCAGAAACGAGGGTAGAACATATCTGGGAAATACTTGTTTGTCTGCAGATCTTCTTGGGGATTTTGTGTATCTCAATCTGCATGTGGGACTCCACTGCCTCGACTCCAATCGTGCCAACTTTGAAAAATGTTTGCATAAAATATACCAAGCCTCATATGTATTTCAGCCATGTGGTAAAAACTTGGCAAACAGCCAATTTTCAATGAATTTGCATTTTCCAATGCAGCCCAGCTAGCTAGCGGACAGTGGATCGTCTGCTAGCTATGCTCTGAGTATCCTGACCAGGTACAAAATTTGAATGTTGTTGGTTTCACTGTCCTGATCTACATGACATTAATGCAAGAGGCTTTCTGTAAATAATTAATAAAAATAGATATCACCAATTATTTTGAGACTCTACAATGTCAAAGAAAACAATTCATAAAATTCATACTTCCTATGTCCCGAACATTTTTAAGACTTCTGAAAGATTGACTTCTGAAAGATATGTTGATGCCAGTCGTGGTCATATTTTTGGATTAATGAATTTAATGCCTTTTAAGACTTTTTAAAGATCTGCAGGAGCCCTGTCTGGGCCAGGATTGCCTGCACACTGCTCTCACCTCTGACGTCACAAGTAAACACGGAGGTGACTGAGCTGAAATGGCAGTGGAAGGCAGTGCTAGCCATGCTAACGATGCTTACAGCCGCAACAGTGTTGACAAAGCTAACAGTGTTAACCTGGGGGGGGAGTCCTGCCACACATATAAGCACAGCGCAGTGTGGCAGTGATTAGCTAGCCAGTGGGCTATGAAGGAAAGGACTTCATTTGCACCAATGTGGCCGGCCCGGCCACCAAAACAAAGAACAGAGAAGCCTGATTGCAACACACACAAATAGAATATAACCTTTCAAGTATAGCTTTCTGAATATCCAAGAAATACTAAATTAGAAATAGTAAAATACATACATACATACATACATACATACAGTCACAGAAAACATTTTTCTCTTTGCTCTGCCTAAGAGTGCCTGAATAACATTTTCATTCCTGTGACCAGTTTTTAGCAGCGCTAGCAGCTAAATGTTCAATAAATACATTCAGATGAAGCCTCACCTTGCAATGTGATGTTGCTAAAAGAGAATAGTAGTGCACTTTCACTGACTGAAGCCTTTTCTCTGGTTGCTCCCGTACAGGTTTTGTGCTGGTGATTGGACTTGTGACCTTCTACAGGATCGGGCCCTACACACACCTGTCCTACTCCTGCTACTTGGACATAGCTGCTTGCCTGCTGGCCACGATGGCTGCGGCCATGCTCATCTGGAACATTTTACATCGCCGAGATGACTGCCTCGCACCCAGAGTTATTATCATCAGTCGCTCACTGGCATCACCATTCCACCCGCGCCTCGACAATGACTACGTGGAGTCGCCTTGTTGAGTCACATAACTTCATAATGAGGAGTAATGGAATACATGGACAAGACTGCGCTCTCAAATATTCATGTTTTACTCCAGCTAGGAGCCTCCAATGTGACTCTGAAGGGAAGGGGACATTCCTGTGGCTCCACAACAACTGGACTAACATGTACCTGCAATTGTAAAACTCTGTATTTCACAACATAAACAAAGCTATTGGAATTATTTTTGCTGCTTAGTGCACAAGAGTCACATATTTAACTAAAAATAATAAGAAAAGCAGCCCTAAACTACATAACATATTCATGACTGTATGATGTGAGCTAATTTGTAACTAAATATGGCATTTGGACGAGGGCCGTCTTCTACGAAACATCCTGCTCCTGAGAAGATCAAGCTGGAACTTGACCTGCGTTGTTATATGTGCACTGATTAAATGGCCTCCTGCTTAATTATAAATTGGAAATGATGAAAGATGTCGAAAATGTAACACCAGAATACCTCATATTTGTTTTCATCCATTTAAAGCTTATTACACTTTAAATACATATTAATATTAATGATATATGTTGCAAATAAGTAGGGAAACTAACAAGGTAAAAGCAGAAGAGTCAGTCAACATAAGCAAACTTTTTATTTGGGCTTACCCAATTTGGTAAATTTCACAACAGCCAATGAGAGGTGATATTTTCATCAAATTAACACGTACCTACTGAATGAGGGCATATTCACACTCTTCAAATGAGTCATTGCCAAATTAATATTTTTCCTCTTGAAAAAAGGAAAATAAAAAAGACAACTGATGTGCCAATGTATGTAATTTGTATTTTTAAGCAGTATTTGTGAAAATGTTTTGGGGGATGTACTGCATTTTGAAATGACGTACACATTTCAATACTCTTTCATAATGCTTTCCATATGAAATTCTGCTCGCTTGTGGTACATACTATACTTAAATTAATATAATATAGTTGTATAAAAAAAATAGTAATATCAGTAGTAGTAGTATTATTGTGACCATATCTTCCTTCTGCAAAGGACTCCAGGCCATCTATGGGTGTTCCACATTGCAAAACAGAGGAGCACATTAAAATAATAATATATCATATAAGGTCAATAAATTTACTGGTAAATGTTCAAACACAGTGGTGGTGGTGGTTGTTGTTGTTGCTACTGTTGTTTGTTGCTTTTAAACACCCGTTCAAGACACCTTTTAACCAAATTTGGGACAGATTTTTGGACAAACTATGTTTTACTTATTCAAGCATCACAGGTAAGCATTGCAAGTAGTGTGTATGTTTCCTGTGCAGAGGTAAGTGTTATGTAGGAATATGGTTATTAGATTCTTGTTGTAATTAAGACCTACCAAATTCAAATTTAAGACCATTTAATGACTTTTAAGTCCTTATTATTGTAACATTGAATTTTGAAGACATTTTAAGACCTTTTAAGGACCTGTAGACACCCAGCAAAAGGACAACTCATTAACTTCATTCATTTTAATTAAATCTGAAAATGACAGATATATCATGTGTGTATGAAGTTTAACCTTTAGCAACAGACTTTCAAGACTGTATCTATGATATTCTAGACTCAAAGCTTATGACTATATATAACAGTATTCTTCAGCAATTGGAATTTGCTAAGGTGATTTTAGTCACCTAAGTGCAGTACTATGTACAGAACTTCTGTCACATGAGAACACGTGGTCGTACATATCTTCACTGAAGAAGGCTGTGAGATATGGCAGAAAGTTAAAGCAAAGTTATAGTAGCTGATGAGCATGGAGGTAAAGAATGAACTAGCATGCTTAACCCTCAAGATTTGTAAGGAGTTCATATCGACTGTCATTTGATCTTTAGTTTAGGGTGACAACAACACACAGTACACAGAAGGTGAGATGAGCATCAATAACTCACTCCGTGTAACCTTAATTTTGTGAACTTGAGTTATTCTTGCATGCCTCCAGTAAACGAAGAATCCAAAAACTGTGAACCCTCTTAATGACTAGAGTAAAACGGGGTCGTGCCTAACAACAGCAAATCTATGTCAACCCATCTATTTAAAAACTCTCACACAACTCGTCCAGAGCAATCCAAGTCTCAGTACTTCCTAAACATGCATTTTCGCGAAACCTTACTATTTTAAACACTTCCCCATATGAGTAGCATGGGCAAGTGTGTGCCTTTGAACTGTGCTTGTGCGATCCATTGAGTTGCTCAAGTGCGGTACTCAGCCATGTGCGCAAAAATGCATGTTTTTGGAAAGTACAGAGTATATGACTGGATAAATAACAGCTGGTCTATCATATACTGGCCACTGTAAAACTTAATATGTCACAACTTCTCCCATTATAAACAAAAACATCTAAAACAACTATTTTTGCTGATAGCGCACAACAAATATTTAACTAAACAGCATATTCAAAACTGCAGTATGTTTCAAAGTGCTGAGCATATAACTGGATAATTAGGACTTGGATCATACTGAATAAGTTGTGTGAAAGTTTGTAAACAGGTGTTTTGACATAGTTTTGCTGTTGTTAAATGTGGCCTCCTTTTACTTCAACCTTCAGCCTTTCAAAAACTTTGAAATATGCCACAGTATTGCTATCATTCAACTATTCAGTGACATTTATACACATTTAGCCCAGCACTGCAGTGTAGCATAAGTTTTTTAAAAACCTTGAAATATTCCACAGTATTGGTCTCGTTCAACTATTTGTTGACATTTATACACAGTTTTTCAAACAGCCTTCAAATATTTCTCATCATTCATACACGCATGGCATTATTCAGCATTTCAAGCCAGCATTGCAGTGTAGCGTAAGATATTCAGCTTGAGCATTCACACCTGCTATTTCTTCAGAAACTGCATTCTCTAATTTTCTCTGTTTTTGGATTCTTCATTTACTGTGGAGGCATGCGAGAACAACAAAGTTTTCTTTGCGAATTCAAGGTAACACAGGAAGTAATAGATAAACAAATGGTAATTTTGTGGGTGAAGTATGTCTTTTATCATCAGTATGTGCACGGGTAAAATAATTTCAAATTCCAACACCATCATTTAAGAAAACTGACCCAAACCTGCCAAAAGAAAGATGATACAAGAACAAGAATATAAATTTCTACATTTCGACAATACTTTCTTTAAAGATGAGAAACTGACAGCTGGGACGAACTGTAATGCTTTTAATGCAGTGAATTATATAATTCCTATGACAAATGGCATGATCTACCACAGCCAATTATGATGAGTGTGACACCGTCCATCAGTCTCTCAGCCTCACCCCTGAACACTTCCTTGGGTGTTTGTGTTCCGGATGGAAAAAGAGGGGAGTTTGCTTTTAAATAGCAAATGCAGTGGCAAAAAGACAGCAAGAGAAGGCTTGCATTCATGTGGGCAGATAACCCGGCAGCATGTCACCTCAAGTCAAGGACAACATGAATGAGAGGAAGTAGCTCAGTCTGGACTGAATAAAGACATTCCAACCTGTATCTGACATACTGCTCTAGAAGGCAGAGGCACTCTTAAAATGAGAATATCTGTATTAGATGAATTGAATTATAACTGTATGATATAATTTGTTAACTTGATTCACAAGAGCCAGGAAAAAGGCTGAGTTAATCCCCGTTTACCAGATAAAATAAATTTGACTCCCGGATGGCAGGCCACTATCTCTGACTCAGTTCAAAGAGCTAAAGAGAGACAAATCCCAGAAGGTACAGGTTGCTGCTGCAGGAAATGAATATTCCTGTGGGTGGAGATATGCGGGAATCGAACACAATACTGATCTTAAAAAAAAAAAAAAGAAGCAGCAGTAAAAATAGCCATCAATGAGCAACTTAGTAAAGCTGTCATCATGCCTATTAAACTTTTTGGAATATCCGGCCAGTGGGATGTGCTGTTTTCCCATTTGTTTGTTTTTATGCTGTTTTCCATTAGCGTTATATTGGTACGTGCCAAAGCAAAGCTACCGCAGAAATTAAACAGAGTGCCCTGAATCACGTATTCTGCTAAAGATAATATCAAATCTCCACTGAAATCACATATACGTTTCCCCAACACGCACACGCACACACATAGAGGAACAGGCACGCACATCCTTTTAGTGACCTGATTCAATGTTTGTAAGAATGGAAAGGGCACTCCTTTTGGACCAAACTGGCAGGGGGACTTGTGTGTGTGTGTGTGTGTGTGTGTGTGTGTGTGTGTAAGTCACAGTGTGTTTAGAAAAGTACATCCCCTCCGAACACACCCACACAGTAACAGAAACAGTCACATATATACACAGTGAAGAGTTCCTTCCCTGTGCACAGACACAGAAAAAGTCCTTAATCATGTCCTGTGTTTAAAATATTGCTTTGTGTACTTCCACAAACAAATAAAAGTTATGCTCTGGTGCATCTGATTTGATTATGGCATCAAGATATGATAGACTGGAAGACAAACTGCAGAGTTCAGTTTTAAATATTATTGAATTCTGAATATACAGTGGTGTGGCATTTATCTTCATTCACCTGTCAACTGTCTGCTTTGTTCGTGTTACTAAGCGGACAACACAAGCCTCTTTTAGAAAATGACAAAACAGGCAGTGCCAGTTACCTGTCAGACTTCACAAGAGTGTATCAAACTTAAGGTTACAAAACTATTGTGTGAGTTTTCCTTCATGTTGACCACAACGTTGAAAGGAGCTGAATGAAATGAGGGGAGAATAAAAGCAAGAGACAACAATGCCCAAATCTCAAACATAATTAGTTCGAGCTCTCCCACTGAAAACAACTGTCAAGCATTCTGAGAAGAGTCAAGGTTGCCACAACAATTCTACCCCTGTGACCTCTGCTTAGCCTTTGAACTAAAGCCTCCGTGGAAAGGGCTGCTGGGAGAGGTGATGACAGCGATCAAAGAGAGGAAAGTCATCCTGCATGTCTCCTCGCTTTGAGCTGACACATGTAAAAATGTTATGCGAGTTTTGTGGCCTTACCTTTTGATGAGCTTGATAGACTTGAAGGCTTCATCCATGTCGCCGATGGTCAGGTAGAAACTGAAGTTGAGCATGGCGTCGCGGGTCGCCTTCTCGCAGTTCTCCAGGCCCACAAAGTCTCTGAGAGCTCGCCTGGATACCATGTGAGGGAACTGGGCAGCTGAGCTCCTTGATGGATGGGTCTGCTGTGGAGGTGCTGACGTTGTGGCTGAAATCTCTGGTAACCCTGGATCACTCTCACCAGGCTGATAAAGGGTAGACCAGGTAGAAAAACATGTTGTTAAAGGGATTGCTTAGATTTTTTGAAGTGAGGCTGTATGGGGTACTTATCCAGTCAGTGCATTACTACAGTAGATGGCAGTTGGCACGCCCCCAATTTGGAGAAGCAGACAGAAGTACTGCCACAGAAAATAAGAAATGTACTGCTGTGGAGGGGGGCAGTAGCAAAACATATTTTAGCCAACTAAAAAAATCATTATCGGTGTAAGTCTACACTATAATTAAAATATTTTCCCCACTTTTTCCTTGCTCTCAGACAGCCCTTCTGAAGGGGAACCAAAACCATTATCTATGCTCTCTTCAAAGCCACCAGACTCCTTTCACAAAAACTGTTGTGTTGCCTTGCAGAATACAGTAGCTGCTGGTCTACCGCTGCTATGATTGGTTAGTTTGTTTGTGTCACTGTGTGACTACTGCGTGAATCTGAACTAACCCTTCGAAGCACTAATGTTGCACAATAACACAAACAAACTAACCAATCTAGGCAGTGGCAGACCAGCAACTCCCATGATCTGCAAGGTAAAATTACTGTTTTGAGAACACAGATAATGG